CTCTAATTATTTTGATATACACGTGTCAATTCGTAATTAATTCCTATATATACTTTATTGATTTGTCATTCGATCTCATTTAAATATTAATTAAAATGAAAAAAAAAAATTTTTTTCTAACTGAAACCAAGTAAAAAATTTTCAATGAATTTGTTATTGTATTTTTGAAAATGTATAGAGATATTGGATTATAGATATTTTGTATTTTCAAAATTTGATACCAGATTCATAATAAATAATCAGCGACACCGAAAACCCCCGTACAAGCTTGTTTCAAGTAAATTTTGTAAATTAAAAAAATCCGCCATATTGGATCAGCCATTTTGAATTTTTGAAAATTCTGACGCCTTTTTGGACTATACCCACTTGGAAAGATTCCCCGGAAAGTGCCCCCTGAAGATTCTATCAGAATTCCGCCGGAACTTCCAACGTAATTCCGTCGGAGTTACAAAGAATTTCCGATGGGATTCCGACGGAATTCCGATTAATTTTTTTCAATATTTTTAGAGTCCTAATTCTGTCGGAACTCCGTCGGAATCTCATCGGAAATTCTTTGTAACTCCGACGGAATTACGTTGGAAGTTCCGGCGGAATTCTGATAGAATCTTCAGGGGGCACTTTCCGGGGAATCTTTCCAAGTGGGTAGATAATTTTTTATTTTCAAAATTAGATGCTGGATTCCTAATCAGTGACTCAAAAAACCGCAGAGAAACAAGTTTTAAGCTAATTCGTTTAATTTTATCAAATTCTCCGCCATATTGGATCAGCCATTTTGAATTATAGAAAATTCTGCCGCCATATTTGACTAGATAATTTTTTATTTTCAAAATCTATAATGCCACATTCATAATTAGTGACCCAAAGAACCGCAGTAAAACAAGTTTTAAACTAATTCGATTAATTTTATCAAATTATTCCGCCATATTGGATCAGCCATTTTGAATTTTATTAGATATTGCAGTATTTAACTATATGAATATACTATATTTCATGTGTTATCATTACAAAAAATAGCGCTTTAATATTTCCTAAAAAATTACTAATTTTAACTTACAGGAATGTTGTTATTAACAATTTTAAATATAGTTTTTTTTACGTTTTATCGCATCTTTTAAGAATTTTATGAAAACAAAGAACCAGATATTTCTTGGGGTTTTTAGTAACGCAATTTATGAATCTGATAATTTATGAATATCAGTATTCAAAATTCAAAATGGCGGATCCAATATGGCGAAAGTTTTTGTTAAATTTTAATCCGATTTACATAAAATTTATATCTTTGGAGTTTTCGGGGTCGCTGATTACGAATTTAGCCTCAGATTTTTAAAATATCAAATGGTGAATCCAATTTGGCAAATTTTTTTTTGTTATTTATCAGATTCTTTTAAAATTTGTCAATTTAGTGTATTACCAAATTACATTTTTTTTCCTTTAAAGTATATGATATATATTGAATTCTCATGAATATGTTTTTTTTATTTATTTACATAATTGCACAAGATTGTTGAATAATTGTGTAATTTTTCGTGAAAAATATGGAAATTTACAAGAAATAATAATATAAGTTGAATATAAAAGATAATAAGTCTATAATTAACTCAATAACAAAAAAGAAAAAGAAAAAAACACGTGTCGTGTTATATAGAGAAGAACATTGAAAAGTGCAATCTTCGAATTGGTGGGAAGACAAAGTATAAATGGTCGCGGGAAAATATGCAGAGAGTTATATATGTGTATGTTGCACAATGACGAAAGTGCGAATGTTAAATCAAGATACAAGAGTCTCGTCGGGAGCATATATTGCGACAGTTATACGAGCCATCCATCATCATTTAAAAGGCGTTGTCTGTCAACGTTCCCGCTAAATGTGTGTAAGAGAGAGAGAGAGAGAGAGAGAGAGAGAGAGAGAGAGAGAGAGAGAGAGAGAGAGAGAGAGAGAGAGAGAGAGAGAGAGAGAGAGAGAGAGAGAGAGGGAGAGAGTTGGCGATAATGACAATTCAACGGCTTAGCGCGCGGTCTGCTTTGACCCCTCGTGCCTCTCTCTCTCTTTCTCTTACTCTCTTTGCGCGATCATTAATTTATGGCCTTTTCTTTAAAAGTCACGCCATTGTGTTTGTCTCGTTCGATAATAAATATAAATATCGCGGACTATCACGTTTTTTTTGTGTTTGGAAAATCGTGAATGATAAATATATATTAAGAGGGATGGTGACCGTAACATAACCTCAAAACTAAAAAACGGTTTTTAACAAAAATTATGAGAAAAATTAAATTCCATCACTTTTGGAAGGTATATTGATTTAAAAATTTCAGAAATAATCATATTTAGTAAAAATCTATCGTTAAATAATGATTTTTTTAACATATTGATTTTTTTCTTCAACTCAGACAAAAATTGTACTTTTCAAGCAATTTTTATGAATAGCTCTCATTTTACTCATTAATTAAGTATTATACTATTCCACTTTCACATTTCCACATTCATCATTTCACTTTCTATTCCACTTTTACCATTTCACTTCTGAAGTGTATTTAAATTTTTTTATCAAATAATTTTTTAACAACATACTTTTAATAACATTAGAAAAATTACGATTATGTATTTGCATTTCCACCCTTTCAATTTTAGTAATTTTTACTATTCCACTTTCACCATTCTACTTCCACTTCAGAAGTTAAAAGGTGAATGTAGAATTGGAAGTGTGAAAGTGAAAATGGAATTACATAATTGTAATTTTTTTATTGGTATTAAAAGTATGTTGGTAAAAAATTATTTGATAAAAATTTTATCACACTTTAAAAGTTAAATGGTGAAAGTGAAATTGGAAGTGGAATAATGAATGTAGAATAGTGGAAGTAGAATGATGAAATAAATAAAAAACATAAAAAGAAAAGGAAATAAGGTAGAATAAAATTTTTAATTTTACAAAAAAAAACTGTTTGTTTGATCAACCAAACATTTTTGTTGACCTAACAAAAAAAATTTGGTTGAGCTAACCAAACATTTTTGTTATGCCAACAAAAAACACTGAACCAAATTTTTTGGTTGACTCAAAGAAATAGTTTGGTTGCTTAAATACCAACAAAATTTTTTTGTTGGCTCAACCAAATTTTGGTTGCTCTGACTAAACATTTTTCTCAGTTTATATAAATTTTAGCTTCGAATTTTATCAGGAAAACAATTGTACCAACCTCAATCTGTGAAAATGATATCATTTTTTTGAGTCACTCGATAGCTAGAAATTTTTTTTGAAGTGAATGTAGCTTCAAATGGTGAAAGTGAAAGTGGAATTATAGATGTAGAATACAGAATGTGAAAATGTAGAAGTGCAATAGTGGAAGGGTGAAAGTGGAAGTGGAATGATGAATGTGGAAGTATAATGGTAAAAGTGGATGTGGAAATATGAAAGTAAAGTATAGTGGAAGCGGAAGGGTGAAAGTGAAATTGAAATAACTTAATCCTAATTTTTTAATTTGAGGTTATGTTACGATCACCATCATTTTTAAAATCGATTCATTTATTTGTTTTTCATTTTTCGATTTTCACTTTACATTAAAAATAAGACGCGCATATATTTTCGCATTTATTGAAAAAAAAAAATTTCCCAGAGATGGATAATCGATTACTGATTGCTCATATATATGTAGTCGTATAGTAATTATGAAAATTGCACCTCTCTTAAAGTTCATATCGGCCACATGCTAATTATCATTAATAACAGGCTGTAAACATAGTGTTTGTGTTGGGTCGTAAGTGCTTTAAATGACAAGATGTGACAGCTATAATTTTAGAAAATTACGTCATTTCTCAAGTACCTCAAGATGGTTGGCATTAGTTCAAAAAAATGAACAAAAAGAAAAATACATAATGTTTTTTAGCAATAATTTTTCTAATATTATATTCTAGCTGAAATTCTTTTATTATATTTAATTACAAATAACTTAATCGTGTATTATTTGCGCTTATATATATATTACCTATATCTTTATATGTCAGTCTCACTTGTTATTATTATTATTTTTTTTTAAATATTAACTACTTGTGCCATTTGGCAAATTGCTTCCACCAATTATATTGTGAAATAAATTCAATTTTTAAAACCGCATAAATTGACTGCTGAGAGACATATGTATATAATTATTTTTAGAATTGCGAGGTAAGAAAATAATTCATTCTTACAATTAGTGAAGTAAAGAAAAAACTAAGGCTCCTTGGAATATTAAATTTTATTACCTGTACTTTGTGTAGTATTTTTTTTTTTTTTTTTTTTTTTTGATTGACAAATAATTTTTTATTAATGAAATTTATAGAATTCATGAAAATTCTTAAATAACAATTTTATTTAGAAAAAATAGTACGCATATAATTAACAAATTATTAAATATTTGTGAAATTGTACATTTAAATTTTTACTCACTACAAGCAATAAATCTTAATTTTTAGAATGTGTATATTTTCTGAAATTACAACTGTGGTTTATATAAAAAGAAGTAGCAATCTTTTTATAGTGACAGTCAACATAAGATAACGAATTTTATTTTAAATATTTTAAATATTATTAAAATTGTTCAGCAAAATAATTTTTGTTTAAAAACAATTTATTATAAACAATTCAAAAAAAAGAAGAAAAAAAATTATGACTAATAAAAAAAAAAAAAATAATGCCATTCTATTTTACGGAAAAATTTACAGAGATAACAAGTATATGATATTTATGAACAGCAATTTGTTGATAAAAAATTATTAACAATTATATTCCGTTTATAATTTTTTTTTATCAACTAATTACTATTTATAATTCATAAAATAATATACTCCTTATATTCATGAAACTTAAACATGTTTTGTTCGATAATTTTTTTTTCTATATGTAAAATTAAATAGCATTATCAATTTTTTTTTCAAAAATTAACAATTTCTTTTTATTTGTTTATTGAAAAATTGTTGGGAATAAATTTTTTAATAAACAAATTTTAATGACAAAATATAAATTACTTACAGAGACGATTTTAGTGTGGCTGCACTTGTATAGAGGCTGGAACAAAAAAGATCCATGATGATTGTTAATTAATAAATTGTAATAGCAAATAAAAAAAACAATAATAATAAATTTATAATAATAATAATAATAATAATAATAATAATAATAATAATAATAATAATAATTTTTGAACCCGAGAAATTGAAGAGTTTGGGTTTTGTTGACAATTGTAACCCAAGAGTTAACGGAGTCGATGATTACGAATCCGATGTCAGTTTTTCGAAATTCAAAATGGCGGATCCAGTACGGTGGATAAATTTTTCCAAAAATTCTTTGGATTCGGTTGCAACTTGTTAATTGCGGTTATTCCCGGGATAAAATGAATAGTATTCGAATAAGTATATACACAGTAATCGGAATATTCGAAATAGTATTCCAAACAGTATTGAAAGTATATAGAGTATACCAAATAGTACTCTAACTTGTATACATAATCTCCAATGTATACCTGATAGTCTTCGGTAATATTCGAAACGCATATGACAGTACACTGAGTAAACTAAGCTGAATCTTCAAATGGATAATCTTAGTTTCCTAAGTATACCAAAGTATTCAGAGTAATCTCGAAGGTCTTCAGAAGTCTCTTAAAAGTATGAACATCTTCCGGAGTAAATAAAATGAATACTGCAGTCTCTGAATTTTTGGATACTTAATTGCTGATACAACACATAGATGGCAGAAGTAAAAAATTAGAATGGCACTAATAAATAAATAAAATAGTACATAATAAACTGAGATTTACAATATTTTATTTAAATTTTAGTATTATATTTTGAGTAAGAACTACTAAACATAACTGATAACAAGAAGAAAGATTTTTTATTAATATTGCAAAATATTTTCACTCTAAAGCAGAGATTGGAGTATTTTTTCGTTTTTAAAGGTTTGCCACATCTGGTTTGCATTAGGATGACCAGTCAATGGTTTCTCGATGCAAGAGGTCCTATTTTGTGAGTTTTTCGGTACCTGTTTTTTTCTTATAGATTTATTTAGATAGAAAATGTGTGAATTTTGAAGATGCAAAAAGACGAAGAAAATGTTTTTAAATTTTTAGTATTTTTTCAAAAATTTTCCTAAGGCAGACCTTCAAGTTTTCAGTTGCTTTCTAGCATTTGCCACACGGAGAGACCGCCGGTTGGAAAAATTACTAAAAAGATTTACAAGTAGCGGAAATAAGGTTACTTTGTCATATATTGCTGTAGGAAATCGAAAATTCTATTAGCAGCATACTTAATAAAACCTGTATACTATAGTAAAATTGCATTCAAATTGGAATAGAAATTACTATATTCTACAGTTTTATTAAGTATGCTGCTAGTAGAATTTTCGATTTCCTACAGCAATGTTTGACAATGTAACCTTATTTCCGCTGCTTGTAAATTTTTTTAGTAATTTTTCTAACCGGCGGTCTCTCCGTGCAGGAACTAAGGGGAACCTACAGTCGGTAGTTAGTGAGTTAAAGTGAAGAATTTATTGAGAATTTATTTATTAATTATTATTTTAATGTAATATTTAAAGTTTTTTATTAAACGAAACAATTTGAAGTGTAAGATAATTCTTTAACTAAAAAAATCCTGCACTAAGTGACACAATGCTTTAATGACAAATTACCTATCGAATGGTACGAAATCATATACTGAAAAAATTATAAGCAAATCAAGAAAGTTTTTCATATATTTTTTATTTACTTAACCAGAAATTTATATTTTATTAAATATTGTAATACAAAATTAATATTATAAATGTTAACCTTGTATTCACTGCCAATTGTAATAGTTTATTTAATAAATTATTGTATAAAATATTATAACAAAAAAATTTTTTATAAAAAATAATTTAATAACATTAAAATATTTAAATATATCATTGATTAGAATGCAACTTAAAGTTTACATTTTTTTCAGATACGGAATTATGAGTTTTATAAAGGATATACCATATTACTTATCGCTTCAAATATTTAATTTAGATAGTTTTTTTTTTTATGTTTATCTATTTATTTATTTAACTTGTATATTAATTAATTAAGTATTATACATATTATGTATAATTATATTATTTAAGAAAAAATTTTTGTTTATATTTGGTGTTTATATGTATCAAAAAATATTCAATGAATAAATTAATTATCATTTAATATTATTTATTTTTATTCACATTTGTTATTAAGAAGAATTTTTGTCTATATGACAATGCGACATCTATTAGACACCATTAGAACTCTATAGTTGGAGTTCATTACAAGATAATTTGGAAAAATTCATATAATATCCCAATGTATACGAACGGTATAATCTCCTCTCTATGTGGTAGATCTTAGTATACCATCAGTTTACTTTAGTAACTTTTCTCAAAGTATTCCACTGTCTTCCCTTTGGCACGGAGAAATACTTATTCGAATACTATGTGACTCAAGTTTACTTTTGGAATACCTACATTTTTCATTCTGGCGCCAGGATTGCTGATTACGAAATTGACATCAGATTTTCAAAATTAAAAATGGCGGATACAATATATGTCGAAAGGTTTGTAAAAATTTTATCGGATTAACTTAAACTTTGAAACTCAATAGTTTTTGGGGTCTTTGATTACGAATCTGGTATCAGATTTTAAAAATACAAAATATCTAATCTAAAGTGGCGGCAAAATTTGGTAAAATTCAAAATGGCTGATCCAACATGGCGTAAAATTTTATTAAATTCAACGCATTCGCTTTCAAATTGTTACTTGAGGGTTTTCAGGGTAGTTGATAACGAATTTGATATCGATTTTTTAAAATTCAAAATGGCGGATCCAATACGGTGGATAAATTTTTCCAAAAATTCTTTGGATTCACTCTTAAAAATCGTTATTAGCGGGTTTTTTGTGTCACTGATTACGAATTTTATGTCAATTTTTTAAAATTCAATTATATCTTTACACGGAGAGAAATCGATGGTACGAGGTACTATCTAGATAGTACTGGGTACCATATTTGATCTTACATATACGGACGCATAATGATGGTACCGGATAACATCTATACTTTTTACCATCTTAAGATCATAAGTTCTTATACCGCATCTATTTTTCTCCGTGTAAAAAATTGTTCAGATTTGTTTAAAATATGTTACTCGGGGAGTTTTTGGAGTCGCTGATTACGAATTACAAATGTTTTCTTTAAATTTACATATAGGTGTCTTTAATTTTCTAAACATACTTTCTATTTTCTAAAGACATAAAATCGCGAATTTATACAAATACATATATCATGATAAAATACACTGCATTTGTGTTGCGCTTTTAATAAAAGAGAATAAGTCCCATATATATATTTTACTAATTTTAACTAGAAGGCGCGGTCTGCAGGCGTCATTTTACCATGAATAATTATATACAACTAAGTGACATAGTGTCGATTTGCATAAAAGCGTTTGCATATCAACTCTAGTAATTTTCAACGTTGAAACGAAACGTTGGCGAACAGTGGGACAGGTGTCCAGTGTATATATCCTTATGTGCAAATTGGCCGGACGAAGCGAGAGAGAGAAAGAGAGAGGGGGAGAGAGTTGTGTAGAGATTGGCATTTGTACAGACGTTTCTGGAAGTGAGCTACAGTGAGACAAAGGGACAGAGACAAGTTCAACAACAGCTGAAGTTATCTCATGAGTCTAGTTGTTGGCTACTCGTCGTATATATACATACATATATATATATATATATATGCACTAGCAGTTTACGGATTTATAGAGATGAGTAATAATATATCACTCCTATTCCTATATAGCAGCAGATGCAGACATCGTGTTTTATTTATCTCTTTATATTGAAACATCGGTAGGTATTGACGGGTGGTTTATGTTCACATGCCAACAACTTGTTTTTGATTATATATATATATATTTGCGCGCACCAACCTCTCTACATTTCGAATTTTTAAGGTTATGTTCCTATTTTACTTTTGAGTTTTGATCTAATTTTAAGGTTATGTTTGTATTTTAGTTCTATTAGTTTTGATCTAATTTTAAGGTTATGTTTACCGATTTTAACTTCTTCATATAAGAACTTAAAATCTTACCTCGAATTTTGAGGTTATGTGTTCGCTCTCTTGATACTGAAATTTGCTTATTTTCAGATTATGTTTGCCGAATTTTAATCTTAAACCCGCAACGTTGTCATGATTTGTTATCTAATATATACTTTTGTCCCTGAACTTTGACGTATAATTTTGAGGTTAAGTTTAAACCTCAAGCCTAGGCGGTCGATTGACTTATGCGACTTGGCAATATGTTCAGAGCCAAAATACTAACAAACCTGAAAACATAACCTCAAAAATTAGGTGATAAGTAAGGCTCAAGATGCAAACATAACCTCAAAATTCAAGGTCAAATGTTTAAAGACGTATATTTAAAAAAAACGCTAGGTTTGAGGTTAAAATCGGCTAACATAAACTGAAAAAAATTAAATTAATTTTTAGGTCAAGAAGTCATTAAATAACTTTCTGAATAAACGCGGCGGCTGCGGCAAAAGCTTTTTATAATATATATATATAGGAGCGATAATAATATCATCATTTTAAATTGATTTTGACATAGAGAAAATATCATTTTTTTTTCAGTAGTAGAATGATATTCTTTAATGATGATGGACACGCTTTATCGATTAAGACGTATTTTGATTCACTTAAGTTCGAGAGAGGAAGAGAGAGAAGGGATCTCTTTCTCTCTCGAATATGTGTGACAAGCTTTTTCTGATGATATATATATAATAAAAGTCAGAAGGAGAATCTATTGCCTTTCAAGAGAGGATTCCTCTCAAATGGCCGCAATGGGAGTTTCGAGTCGGTCCCTGCTTCTTTGATCCTTCTTCTTCATCTTCTTCTTCCACTGCTTCTTTTTCTTTAGTGCTACTGGAATTTTCTATTTACTATTTAAGGCCGCACACTATATACATATTGCTTTGACTCGTCTTGTTAATTTATAAAAGCGATACAACGGATGCGCGCACGGACTATC